AAAAAAAAAAAAAAAAAAAAAAAAAAAAAAAAAAAAAAAAAAAAAAAAAAAAAAAAAAAAAAAAAAAAAAAAAAAAAAAAAAAAAAAAAAAAAAAAAAAAAAAAAAAAAAAAAAAAAAAAAAAAAAAAAAAAAAAAAAAAAAAAAAAAAAAAAAAAAAAAAAAAAAAAAAAAAAAAAAAAAAAAAAAAAAAAAAAAAAAAAAAAAAAAAAAAAAAAAAAAAAAAAAAAAAAAAAAAAAAAAAAAAAAAAAAAAAAAAAAAAAAAAAAAAAAAAAAAAAAAAAAAAAAAAAAAAAAAAAAAAAAAAAAAAAAAAAAAAAAAAAAAAAAAAAAAAAAAAAAAAAAAAAAAAAAAAAAAAAAAAAAAAAAAAAAAAAAAAAAAAAAAAAAAAAAAAAAAAAAAAAAAAAAAAAAAAAAAAAAAAAAAAAAAAAAAAAAAAAAAAAAAAAAAAAAAAAAAAAAAAAAAAAAAAAAAAAAAAAAAAAAAAAAAAAAAAAAAAAAAAAAAAAAAAAAAAAAAAAAAAAAAAAAAAAAAAAAAAAAAAAAAAAAAAAAAAAAAAAAAAAAAAAAAAAAAAAAAAAAAAAAAAAAAAAAAAAAAAAAAAAAAAAAAAAAAAAAAAAAAAAAAAAAAAAAAAAAAAAAAAAAAAAAAAAAAAAAAAAAAAAAAAAAAAAAAAAAAAAAAAAAAAAAAAAAAAAAAAAAAAAAAAAAAAAAAAAAAAAAAAAAAAAAAAAAAAAAAAAAAAAAAAAAAAAAAAAAAAAAAAAAAAAAAAAAAAAAAAAAAAAAAAAAAAAAAAAAAAAAAAAAAAAAAAAAAAAAAAAAAAAAAAAAAAAAAAAAAAAAAAAAAAAAAAAAAAAAAAAAAAAAAAAAAAAAAAAAAAAAAAAAAAAAAAAAAAAAAAAAAAAAAAAAAAAAAAAAAAAAAAAAAAAAAAAAAAAAAAAAAAAAAAAAAAAAAAAAAAAAAAAAAAAAAAAAAAAAAAAAAAAAAAAAAAAAAAAAAAAAAAAAAAAAAAAAAAAAAAAAAAAAAAAAAAAAAAAAAAAAAAAAAAAAAAAAAAAAAAAAAAAAAAAAAAAAAAAAAAAAAAAAAAAAAAAAAAAAAAAAAAAAAAAAAAAAAAAAAAAAAAAAAAAAAAAAAAAAAAAAAAAAAAAAAAAAAAAAAAAAAAAAAAAAAAAAAAAAAAAAAAAAAAAAAAAAAAAAAAAAAAAAAAAAAAAAAAAAAAAAAAAAAAAAAAAAAAAAAAAAAAAAAAAAAAAAAAAAAAAAAAAAAAAAAAAAAAAAAAAAAAAAAAAAAAAAAAAAAAAAAAAAAAAAAAAAAAAAAAAAAAAAAAAAAAAAAAAAAAAAAAAAAAAAAAAAAAAAAAAAAAAAAAAAAAAAAAAAAAAAAAAAAAAAAAAAAAAAAAAAAAAAAAAAAAAAAAAAAAAAAAAAAAAAAAAAAAAAAAAAAAAAAAAAAAAAAAAAAAAAAAAAAAAAAAAAAAAAAAAAAAAAAAAAAAAAAAAAAAAAAAAAAAAAAAAAAAAAAAAAAAAAAAAAAAAAAAAAAAAAAAAAAAAAAAAAAAAAAAAAAAAAAAAAAAAAAAAAAAAAAAAAAAAAAAAAAAAAAAAAAAAAAAAAAAAAAAAAAAAAAAAAAAAAAAAAAAAAAAAAAAAAAAAAAAAAAAAAAAAAAAAAAAAAAAAAAAAAAAAAAAAAAAAAAAAAAAAAAAAAAAAAAAAAAAAAAAAAAAAAAAAAAAAAAAAAAAAAAAAAAAAAAAAAAAAAAAAAAAAAAAAAAAAAAAAAAAAAAAAAAAAAAAAAAAAAAAAAAAAAAAAAAAAAAAAAAAAAAAAAAAAAAAAAAAAAAAAAAAAAAAAAAAAAAAAAAAAAAAAAAAAAAAAAAAAAAAAAAAAAAAAAAAAAAAAAAAAAAAAAAAAAAAAAAAAAAAAAAAAAAAAAAAAAAAAAAAAAACATTGTTGGGGCTTTAGAGAACTAAAGGGTTTTCTCCAAGCATTTCATTGCAATGCTTTGCACTAGGCAGGTATAAAATTAAATACAATAAATGGGCAAAAAATTGGTATAACCGTACGTCCAATGACTTTATAAGAGACAAGAAAGATACGAAAGCATTACCAACCTGCTGTGACAAGTTATCTTTATAACAGAAGATCCGAAGTTATACAAGTTGAAAACTTAACTCTAAAAGACGGTGCTCTGATCATGTCTGATATAATATGCTTGTTTAGATAAATTTAGCATGATGGCGATCGTTATAATATTATAATGTGAAACATATTTTGATTGAGGCCCTATTTTTAGGGCCCCACATTCAACCAGCCCTGACCTGTTTGCGGTTATTGTCGTACTAATTAATTGATATATTTGTGTCGCATCGTTTAACGAAAGAAATCACAACTAGCTTTATTAGCTATTCAGACGTTACGCGATGTTTGGATCGTAGTGTTCTGTGTTTAAATTTAAAATGGGACTTAGGTAAGTTTTATTTTTGGTTTGCAAAAAGGTCGTATATAAGTTTTAGTTTGATTGGAATTCTTTTAATAATGTGCTGCATAATTGAATTTGTTTCTGTGGCAAAGATATGTGACGAGATATGTGTAAGATATGTGAGTAATTTTTTTTTGTATGGTGTGAGACATTGTATTTAGTACTTATCATTATTAGCGATTAAATATTATATTGAATAATTTTTTTTTAAGAATTGTAGATCAAATTAATCAATCGTTTAATTTCCTCTTTCACTGTGGGGTAAGTTACATAAATTATTTAGCTAGAATGTAAAAAAATATATTAATAACTTTTATTTCTTAACGTAATTTGTTTTTGCCATTTATTCAGCAAAACATTTGCCAGGACAACTAGCACTCATAAATTAATAATATTTTTCAGAAACAAAGTAGTTTCTTGCTCAGTTTCATGCTCTTAATTAAATTAATGAATATGAATTCATACATTTAATTATATCTATCAAGAACTACGTAAATAAATAAGAATGCTTTAAGGATGATATGCAAAATTATGAACCCTCTTACCATGTTCGTATTAGAGCTAAAGCTGGGTCTCAAAATGCCAAAGTCCCGGTTGACCTGGCTTAGTTTCTTTCTCATGGGTATTCGAAAAAGCCACACGAAAACCAGTTTAAATTTTTGCATAAAGATAGGGGGCTCTTATTTTTGAAGTGAAACTTCTTTAGGCGCATGATGGTAAATTTTTATGGAAACGTCACGAACATGTGCAGCGTTTTTGTCGGAGAAAAGGGAGAGAGCGATTGAGACCGATTAAGAGACCGAGGGCGGAATTACCTTAGATAAATTCTATTTTTAAACTTAAATTTTTGTAAAGAGAATTTATGAAATATTAGTATTTTATATTTTATGCAAAATAATTTACAATTCGTCATTTGATTCGTCATAAAATGCCATGTGTTTTTATTATCGAAGAAATAAATTAATTTTTTTTTATTAGTTGTATTAATTTTCGTCACTTTTAATATTTTAATGACAACTAAATTCATGAAATTCCTAACATATCTTCCTTCTTCCCTCTTTCTAAGTCTATGAAATCTAAAGTTTTAGATTTGTATAAATATGAAGAAGACTTAGAAATTAGTTTGCCAAAGAAGTTTCCCGTCTGACATGTGTACTTTGTACGCACGCACTTTTTTTTTATTTAAACATATCTATAGTTGCGATGTGACCAAAGTGGTTGCTAATAAATTATTATTTTTGCTATGTAAATTAGATTTAATATACTACTGTTAAATAAGAGTAACATATAAGTTTAAAAGGTCAGTGAATAAAGGGTTTTTATTGTTATTTATTATATTATTATTATAGTTGCGATGCCTTACGACATCCTCATGGCTCTGTATCTTCTGTAGATTGTAATGTATATGCGCAGTAGGTTTGCGACTGTTTGCGTCTTCGGCATATAACGAAATAGGTCTCACATAAAAATTTGTCAAATGCAAACAAATTGCTTCCATTGAGTGTTGAAGGTCGCCAGTTCAATTAGCCATTAACCTGATCGAGATTTGATATAAAAGTGGGCCATCATCATTGATATTGCCTAGATTTGTTGGTTTACTATTAGTGTCTATTCTGATGTATTCTGATCTACGTTTATATGTTATTTGATAGCTTTAACAGATAATTTAACAATCGATTCGTCATGGCTTCACACTTACCGTGATTACCTCATAATTAACTATCTATTGGTGAAAAGCGTGCAGTATTTCAATGCGAACAGAAAGATAGACGCCGTGTTGTTATTTGTTTTATCTGCAAAAAAGTAGTAAGTACACAAGACCAGAGTGTTTCTCCCTTAATAGAGACTATAATATGTAGTGTTATTGGGCACTTTCTTACGTGAACTATCCTTTTTTGAAAATTAAATAAGTTTTAAATTATGTACTTATTAGTCTTTGGTTATTCATCATTTGTCGATCTAATAGGTAAGTATGGTCAGCCAGTACGCTGCCTGACACACACCGTCGACCTTTTGGCTCTAAGGCAAGCCGGTTACCTCACGATGCTTTCCTTCACGGTTCGAGCAAATGTTAAATGCGTACATAGAAAAGTCCATTGGTGCACAGCCGGGGATCTAATTTACGACTTCAGGGATGAGAGGCGCACGCTGAAGCCACTGGGCCAACACTGCTCATAATTTTTTTATATATTTTATTAAGTCCTGGTTGGGCTTCTGAAACATAGTTTTTGCTATATCCTACGTACGAGTTATATGTTCTATTAATTTAATTAATAAGCATAAATACTTTATTAACACCCATATTTAAATGTAATAATAAAATGTATGTATATTAATTAATGCTGTTTTGTTATCAAATGGAACTAGGCCAATCTTAGATCTCATGATCCAAGTGCGTAGATGAAACTGATCCGAAACCCACAATTAGGTACAAAATGTACTTTGAGCGGTTTTAATCTTTTTAAAAACAATACGTTATCGAAGATTTAAACGCAACAGTAATAGTTATTTTAGTTTTACACAAAATTATTTCAACCATGATGAATGAAGTACATTGATAACCTTTCATTGTCAAGTAATTAAATTCTGTTTTTTCTTTTTTGTTTTACACTAAAAATATTTAGCATGTGTACCTTCTTGTTTTATAAAAAAAAAACTATATGTGAAGATTTGTAATTGGCCCACAATGTTATATATATACACATGCATCTATTTCTGTATTGTGCTGTGAATCTTCTGAATAAATAAATAAATATTGCCAATTGGTTTAGACTTTAGAAATGGCCAGAATTTTCTTAGATACAGCGCGAATCTTTGTGTGAAGCAAATGAAGCAATGAATGAATATATTAATTTAACGGTGATTATCTTCCAAGTACCCTTAACGAAAAAAAAGCTTACGTCAAATTTCGACCTTAAAGAAAAGAGTCACTTTTCATAAGCCGGAAACGCACTTGCGAACCTTCGGGCTAGGTAATCCATGGTCGACTGTAGTTAATATCAGATGAGTCCTACCCATTAGCCCGATTTTGCAAGTACTATTACATTTATAAAAAAATTTAATATCTAAAACGTATAATTATATTGGTATATTTTTTTTATATAACAGTAGGCATACTGGCTGGAGGCTCCCCTGATGGTAAGTGAAACCGCCGCCCATGGACAATCACATTGCCAGAAGGCTCGCAAGTGCGTTGCCGGCCTTTTAAGAATTACGTTCTTTTCTTGAAGGACCCTAAGTCGAATTGGTTTGGAAATAATACTTCAGCTGGTTCCACATAGTGGTGGTGCGCGGTACTGCATATGTAAAATTTATAACCATTACAATTTACGTTCACGCTTTTTACTCCGCGCATTCATGCAGTGTACCCCAAACTTATCTCTAAATATCCGCAAAGGTACACTTTCACTGTGATGTTCTCATCTTTCTTTCAGATTGGCATTTCTCTTTATCGTCATAATACATTTTACAAGCTGTTTGGACAACACTACAGACAGTGAGTTTTATTTATTTCTATTCATTCGTTTTAAGTCAAATAGAAAGTGGATTTGAACTTTATTATAATATATACGATCACGACCGCTCTGTCAGGAGTGTACCGGATAGGAAGGATAATATATAAAATATGTTATTAAATATACAACGAATTTATGAATTGTTACCATGGTTCAATCGTTATATTATTTCAATTTTTTTCTTTTTTCATGATTCTGTTGAAGTAGACATGGGAAATTGGCTGTACCAAAATCATTAAAACGTCTTCCTACTAGAGCTTTTATCGACTAAATGTACTACTTTTTGAAAAAAATTATTATTTTTTTAATGATTATTTGCGTGAAACATTACAATTAATATTAATTTGATAACCTAATAATAAAAGAATTGACTGATATGACTCATAATATATGTAACTTTTATATAAAATTCTCTTTAAGACAAATTTGCGCGCCATTATTTGGCAGATATGCGAACTTTAGATTGTGCCACCGTAAAATGCATTTCTACCGACAACCCTTCCAAGTACAACATGGTTATTCCAGCCAGCACCACATCACCATTAAACACTCTACTATGTTCTGGAAGACTACCTGGGGACGTAGATTTTCAGACAGTAGACCTGATAGCAGTATACCGCTTGGATCGGCCCGATACCACGGGTATTACCTTGGTACAGGGTTCACAGGATTTACAAAGGGCGTACAGGATTGGAGATGGCGCAAACCTGACATTACCCGTGAGGTATGATTAGATCTATATTTTTAATTACCCATCTCTGAGATCGTAAGTTCGATCCCCGGCTGTGTACCAATGGACTTTCTATGTGCGCATTTAGCATTCGCTAATGGTGAAGGAAAACATGGTGGGTAAACCGGCTTGTCTTAGACCCAAAAAGTCGATGGCGTGCCTCATGCACAGGCTGATCACCTACTTGCCTATTAGATTGACAAACGATCATGAAACAGATACCGATATCTGAGGCCAACCTAAAAAGCTTGTAGCTCCACTGATAGCGGGTGACTAAAACTATCAATTCGTAATTAAATAATTTATAATAAAGGTAAAGAGAAACCCCTGATAATTTAAAAAAACAAACTTATAAATTTTTCCAGGAAAGTCTTTCCCAACGGTTTACCAGAGCAGTTCAGCATCACGGCCACGTTTAACCCTCGGAACCAACGCAGACCTTGGAGCCTCATACGAGTGCGATCACAGAATCTTCTCTTCTCCCTGACATTCCTACCTCATGTACGAAAAATGGCGGTTTTCGTTCAGAAAACAAGGGTTATTTTCTCTTGTCCAGAAGTGAGTTTTTCATATATTTCATAAGTATATATGTACTTAAAACGGTATTTTAGATTCTTTGACCTAAGAGTAATTTTAAATATTTTTAAAGGACTTTATTTTTTTCTTTTTTATCTACGATACACTATTACAAGATCTTTGAAGAAAGAAGAAAGAAAAACTTTATTATAAATAATAAAAAAGGACATTTAGTTAAAAAATAAAGTGCACTAGAATTCCCTGTGACAGCAGCTAGTCTTCATAAAAACGCACCTATTTGTTTGTTTTTACGTAATAGATACTACAAAGTAAAAGTAGCTAACAAATGAATTGACGTCCATTTTTAATTGTTTTGTTTATTTATTTTCAGTTATTTCGTGTTGGATGGCACAAAGTACATGTTACCATCACTAATGGTACAGTATACGCTGCAGTGGATTGTATCGAGGTATATTTTCATTTAATTAAAAAACATTACTTTTTAAAGAAATATACAACCACATCGATTTATTCATATTGTCATTTGAAAGCTTTAAAATTCATTAATTTTATAAATTTTCTAACGTAAAAATGTTATTTCTTTTGAGTGATTGATTAATATTTTTTAATGAAGTTTAGGAATTCTATACGAAGGTTCTACTTCTACAGTCTACTGGTAATATATATGCATAATCATAGGACTGGGTTAAGTAAGTCATCAGTTACACTGATCGAAGACTTTAAGTTGGAGGAAGAGAAGCAATTTCCTCCACATAAACAATAAAATATTATGAAATTAAAATAAAACGGTATAAAAGTAATAAGCGATTTTTAGTATGAGATATTAGCAAAATTTTTAGGTTATTTACACGAAAAGGGAGTTCGCAGTCGTTTTAAAAAGATTTAATTTCTAGTAATTATGAGAAATATGTCGATCATCAATTTCAGTTAGAACCAGAGGATATCCCGTCACACAGTTTCAATAACGCTACAACGGTGACGATAGTATCAAACGACGATGGAACCCCAGCTCCGATAGACCTGCAATGGCTGTCTCTGAGTTGCAACCCATTTAACCTTACTGAGGAAAGCTGTGAGGAGATTGTAAGTTTATGTTCGGCTTTCTCTTTCTATCAAATTGTGTTTACTCTGCGATGAAAAAAGTCAGATGACTTTAGTTGAAATGTTGCAATTGGACATTTTTTTATATTAATTAGTTGAATTATAATCTAGTATCTGTGGTGGAAAGCAGGGTATAAATGATAAACAATAAAGTATATTAACTTAAGGAGTAAATCATAAAATTTTTTTTAGGAAATAGCCGAGCCGCTGATAGAGTCACCTATGGTAAGTAATATTAATAATTTGCAATGTTCGAAATAATAGAAGATTAGCTGCTGAATGGCAGCTGACAGTGACGTCACTGGGGGCTTAGTCAAGATGCCTTAACAGTAGTGTATGTAGAAAGTCGAAAACTAAATTTGTATGAAAATGACAGTTCGTGTCGACACAATGCCTGCAATAAAAAAATACGATAAATTTATAATATAGACGTTTTTTTTATGTTTTATAAGAATATTTTTTTAACCTTAATAACATTATTAAGTATTTGAATATTTCTTTCACTTCGAAATATAGTTTTTACACATTTTTTACATTTCAGACCGGCTCGCAGTCTTCACCAAATGTGAATCCATTACTTGCTCCAGTATGTAATGCTTCGTGTCCACCAGTAAGTTAAACTTTTCGTAAGTGATACGAGTCGTAAGGTTTTTATATAACAAATATTCTATTGCGATATTTAATACTAATAGGTACTTTAAAATTGAGTTTAATAATAAATGAACTATTACTGAAATCCGATTTTCATGAACTACCCAACGTTGTCCAGTATAAATAAAAAAATGATCTAATTGTAAATCTCAACCATTTTCGAAATCACTTGTACAAGATTTCATCAAAATCTTTTTTTTTTTTTTTTTTTTTTTATAGAACGGGGGGCAAACGGGCAGGAGGCTCACCTGATGTTAAGTGATACCGCCGCCCATGGACACTCTCAATGCCAGAGGGCTCGCGAGTGCGTTGCCGGCCTTTTAAAAATTGGTACGCTCTTTTCTTGAAGGACCCTAAGTCGAATTGGTTCGGGAATACTTCAGTGGGCAGCTGGTTCCACATAGTGGTGGTGCGCGGCAAAAACTGCCTTGAGAAACGCTCAGTTGTGGAACGTCGGACGTCGAGGTGATACGGGTGGAATTTCGTATTCTGCCTCGACGTCCGATGATGAAACTCAGCTGCAGGTATTAATCCGAACAACTCCTCTGAACACTCTCCATGGTAAATGCGGTAGAAGATGCAGAGTGACCCCACATCTCTACGCAACGCCAAAGGATCAAGCCGCTCGGAGAGGGATTGGTCGTCAACGATTCGAACCGCTCTGCGTTGTATACGGTCAAGTGGAAGGAGCTGGTACTGGGGAGCCCCCGCCCAGAGGTGAGAGCAGTACTCCATGTGGGGCCGAATTTGCGCTTTATATAGTTGCATGCGGTGGCCCGGAGTGAAGTACCGTCTCGCCTTACTGAGCACACCAAGCTTTTTGGAGGCTAATTTAGCCTTTCCCTCCAAGTGACCGCGAAACTGAACGTCGCTCGATATGTCAACGCCAAGTATTCCAATGCTGGCTGTGGCTTTAAGAAGAGTGTTTTCGAAAAGAGGAGTAGCGACAAAGGGTGTTTTTTTAGCGGAAAACGCGCAAACTTGTGTCTTCTTGGGGTTAAATTGGACTAGGTTTTGTCTGCCCCAATCTGAGACTCCACGAAGTAGAGTTTCAACTTCAGACACAAGTTTGTTCCGGTACTCATCAACAACTGCCCGAGAAATACCTGCCCGGCCAGTGTAAAAAGTATCCCCAGTACTGTCATCCGCATAGCAATGAATGTTGCTAAGTTTCAACATATCATTGATATGCAGAAGAAATAGGGTCGGGGATAGAACACAGCCTTGTGGGACCCCAGCGTTTACGGGTTTTAGGTCGGAACATGCTCCGTCGATGACGACCTTGATGCTCCGATCGGCCAGAAAGCTGGAGATCCAATTGCGTAATTTCTCGGGAAGCCCATAGGCTGGAAGCTTCGAGAGCAGTGCTCTGTGCCACACCCGATCGAAGGCTTTCGCTATGTCCAAACTAACCGCTAGCGCCTCCCCCTTGGACTCAATTGCCTCTGCCCATCTATGTGTAAGGTATACAAGAAGGTCACCAGCCGAACGACCACGACGAAAGCCGTACTGATAATCGCTAATCAGCTGGTGGCCCTCTAGATACCTCAAGAGCTGGCAATTAACAATGGATTCCATTATTTTGGAGAACAAGGAGGTTATAGCTATTGGGCGATAGTTGGACGGATCAGAGCGATCGCCTTTTTTTAGGGATCGGATGTATCAAAGCGGTCTTCCAGCACTTCGGGACAGTGCCGAGCGAGTACAGGTACCGGAAAAGGCGCGTTAAGACCGGAGCCAACTCAGGAGCACAAGTACGCAGCACAATTGGGGGGATACCATCCGGCCCGCTCGACTTATGAATGTCCAAGGAAGATAGTGCTTTGCGGACAGCACGTTGCCGGAATGTGATTTCCGGCATCGAAGAATCACACCGCGAAATGGTCGGTGGTGATCTCCCTCGGTCATCCAAAGTCGAGTTAGACGCGAAGAGACAGCCCAAAAGGTCAGCCTTCTCCTTCGCAGTGTGGGCCAGAGAGTCATCCTCCCTGTGCAGTGGCGGAATGGCGGGCTGACAAAAATTCCCTTGGACAGCTTTGGCGAGAGACCAGAAGGCTCGAGTCCCTGATGGGAGTTGGGCCAATCTCTCGCCAAATCTGGCAATGTGCTCTGACTTTGCCTTAGTGATTTCCCGTTTGAAGGACCTGGAGGCTGAGTTATATGCTTTTTTTAAGTTCGCTGGTATTGGCATCACGAGATTTCGCCGCTTCCGCCCATGCCTTAAAGCATTCTCGCTTTCGACGCGAGGCCGCCTTGCAAGAACGTTTAAACCAGGGCTGAGACTTGCCACCGATCGGCACCGCAGAAAATGGAATAAAGAGTTCCATGCCCTGCAGAACCACTTCGGCGACAGAGGCGGCGACGGAATCTGGAGCTTCCGGCGAAAAGCACATAGGCCCCCAAGGGTAGGACGCAAAGAAAGACCGCATCCCGTCCCAATCTGCTGACTTATAGTGCCAAATACGGCGACAACCCATAAAGCGGGGCCGTGAAGGGCGCGTAGATGGCACAGTACTCCGGACCACACAATGATCTGATGAACCCAATGGCGGGTCAACAGAGACTTGATAGTTCTCCGGATGAGAAGTCAGCAGAAGGTCCAACAAAGAGGGTTTATGACCATCCACATCTGGTATTCGCGTAATCGCAGGGACCATTTGTGTCAGGTCGTAGGCTAAAGCAAAGTCGTGAAAGGATCTTCCCGCGTGATCGGTGGTTTCAGAGCCGAGCCAATCGGCATGGTGGGCGTTAAAATCGCCAAGTATCACGATTTCAGCGGTAGGAACCCTTTCGAGCAGGGAATCTGTAGCCATTTGGATGTGCTCCAGCCGTTTAGAAGGAGTTAAGTACACACGCTCAAAACATTGATTTATAAAGAATATATGCCAAAATATGATCTGTTTTCTGATAAACGATATATGTTGAATGATGCGCATTTACCAAGAAGAATTTATGGTCAATTTAAAGCGAATTCCGTAACGAAATTATACAAACTGTGTGCAGCTACGACTCGTAGCGTAGCCGTAACTGGCTCGTAGCAGTTTCGTAGACTATTCCTGTAGCCTAGGAAAAGCGTCTAGAATGCGCGAGGATTCTCTTTTCCTCAAATTTACTTTGTTTATAATGTACATTATCATATTTCAATTATTAACTTTCAATCCATTTAGCAATGTAAAATTGTTCTATAAATTTCAGGGTCCCCAGGGCCCCCAAGGCCAGAAAGGTGATCAAGGAGTGCCAGGCTACACGGGTCTTCCAGTAAGTTTTCAACAACTTTCTTCTACTCTGATTTTATAATCTTATAAAGATTGGCCAGCTTGCAAAAAAATTGTATTATTAAGTTTTCATTTGTTTTTGTTTATAGGGTGTTCGAGGCTTACAGGGGCTCCCCGGGGATCTTGGGCCCCCAGGTCCTAAAGGAGACAGGGGTGATCGAGGACCACCCGGAAATAGCACTAATGTACGTTTTCAAATATAATTTATTTATAAGTATTTTCGTGAATATTTTGTGTTATTTATTGTATTTAAATGGGAGAAATGCCATGGAGAGATACAGTCAAAATCTGTTATAACGACACCGAAGGGACTACTCATATTTGATCGTAAAACCGATAACTATCGTAAAACAGAAAATGGTACTGAAAGTTTCAATATTAGAAAAACGTATATAACAAATCTTAACTATTAATTCAACATTTGATTAGAAATAGACGGGCTAATTATTATAATTTTATTTAAAAGCTGTTAAAAATTAATTAAATCGTTGCTTTACTAAAGAAAATAATAAAATTTTACGCTTTGTTATTTATAAGAGTATGTTTTATTTAAAATCTTTATTAAACATTTAGAGTCAGCAGTACATTTAAATTTCTCATATAGGTAGCAATATTGCCAGGGCCTCCAGGGGAACCTGGGCGAAGAGGAATCAAAGGAGATAGAGGAGATGCGGGTCAAAAGGGTATGTACAATATTTCCATAATAAGATTCAAATTATTCCTACGAATGCTTGTTAAGGAATTAAAAATTTTAGATAAATATCTTGTTTGTTTTTATTAGAGCATTGATTGTATAATATATGTAATGATTATATATACAAACGTGCCCTTTAGATTTTATTTGTATGTTTGGATATAGTTAATGTTAAGTGTATGTTTACAAATTCGCAAATATTAAATTATGAATTAAAATAAAATTGTTATTCTCAGGCGAACCAGGAGAAGTGGGTCTAGTTGGTTTGGCTGGGGTGCCCGGATCTGATGGAAAGGATGTAAGATTCTGATTCTGTTACTGAAGAGATAGTTTGGTTAAAATTCATAATAATCTTTTATTTTACAAAGAGGTTAATACATAGTTACGTTACGTTGTGTTACGTTAAATACGTGTTACGTTAATGAAATAGCTTACGTTAGTTTAACAATAATCTGATATCTTCATTTATATGTAGGGATTGCCGGGGCCTCCTGGAGCAATGGGGCCTCGTGGTGACAGAGGATATCCAGGTCCTCCAGGGCCCGTTGCTCACGTAAATACCTCTGTCGTACAAGGTAAGTGTTTTGTGACAGTTTTGCAAATTTTCACTGGTAACTAAGTAAAGCTACGGTTTCCTAGAAAAGCGGTGCCGTTAACTAACGGCCGTAATGTAACGTTGGGTGACGTCACCCATACGTTGTCTATAAATAACATCAGAGTAGGTTTTTTAGAGAACGTTGAGTGTCACCGTAACTTCAAATAGCGGTGCTGTCATTTGCATGACGGCCGTCATAGCGGTGATAAACAGTAGTACAAGTTTTTCGCGTGTAGCGGTGCGCATATTTAATTACTACAATGACTTGGACGAGCGAAAATGATGAACAATTAATTGATTTTGTTAAAAATCATGAAACTTTGTACAATATCAAATCCAAAGAGTACAGACAAGCACAGATGACGCAAAATTTGTAGAACGAAATTGGAATAGCACTTCAAAAATACGGTCGCACTAATTTCTAGGTAACCACAGCTTTGGCACTGTAAAGACGACCGTTATTATAGCTTTACTATTTATTTTATTTTTCTTATAACTTCTGATAATATTCAGGCAGTAAAGGTGAAAAAGGATCTCCTGGCAGACCAGGACGTGATGGAGAAATGGGGCCTCGAGGGTTGTCCGGGATAGACGGACATGATGTATGTATATTATTGCTGTTTGCTTTCCATTTACATTATCTTTAGTATTGTGTAGTGTATTAGTTGATGTATCGTTTGCATTTAAGTTATTTCATAATCAGGTGGATTGTACCAACCTTTTAATAAAAGCTAAATTCTAGATACCCCAGGCATCCCATTATTCCATTTGTCCTTCCCATTCCGAAGAACGCGTTTTGGTCAAAACTCACCGATATCCAGATTGAGCATTCTGATAAATGAGCTGGGATATCCAGTATCCATAGTTGCTCCCCTCACACAAATTTTTTAAAATTAAAATTGTTTTGTATAATTTATTTTTATTATCTCTTCGTGTATGTTATGTTTGCCTATAATATAATAGTTCTTGTCACATTAAAAATTGTATTCTATTTTTCTTGTACCAATGTATCAGTGAGCCGTGGTTTGGCAAGCTTTTTTAAATAAATGTATGTGTGTTATATCTGTGTGAGATAACAATCCATCATTACAGCACAAATCATAAGACTTTTACCCATATCTTGTCCAGCACTATATAAGGAAATGTCGTCTTGGATCAAAGCCAGGAGCGCTATATAGGACGTCTTGTTCTTAATGAAAATGCGAACTAGAACGATAAGCTTTATAATTTCAGGGATTACCTGGCGTTCAAGGGCCTCCTGGTTTGCCTGGAATACCAGGAGAACGAGGTTTTACGGGATTACAGGGCCTTGCTGGAGAGAGAGGCCCTGAGGGCCCACAGGTATTTATTCGTCTTAATTTTTATTAATAAAAATATACTTTATTCTTAATATATATAAAATAATATAGACGGTAAAATATGATGCTAAGTTTTGCGTTAAAATGCTGGAATATGTCGTAATTGATTCTTCTTTATAGGGCCCTGAAGGCCGCCAGGGCGCCCCGGGTCCCCAAGGTCCTCCAGGTTTAACAACAACTTCTGGAGTCAGTATGCCTGGTCTACCTGGACCTCAAGGAGAAAGAGGAGAGGTATGTAATGCAATTTAATGCTCTTTTTTTTCTACTGAGAATCGAATCATTGACCATGCATGTGGGACTACGACTGCTCGGTAATACGTACAATCTCAAATCAACTAAATCACCGTTAAACTTATTGAAGAATTAAAAAAATCTATATTCTAGAAAGGTGAAGGAGGTTTACCAGGAATACCAGGCAGGGACGGACTGGATGGTATACCGGGGTCTCCAGGACCGAGAGGTGCTCCTGGACCTATTGCACCTAGAGATATTATTGTTGAGGTAATATATATATATATATATATATATATATATATATATAGGTAGGATAAAGTATGTTCCCCGAGAGCTTCAAATTATAATAAAAGTTATTTGTCGATGATCAAATTTTATATTATAGTGGTCATACTTGCTACAAGTAAATACTGTATATTTGTGTATTGGAAATAGAGACCATAATAGAATGCAAATTTTTTAATATTATATGAATTTTTTTTCAGCATCAATCAATCACAGAAGGAGATGTAAGAAATATTTGTGAAGATTTAATGAGAGGTAAGAAAAATATAACGTCTAGGTATTTATATTTTACTTTTTGTTAGTTACTTCATACATTTTAATAAATTTTATCGTTTATAAATGAATTGTTTGAATGCCATATTTAAGAACTTCGAAATCACAAATTTTACAGCAAGTCATTTAAGTATATACATTTTTCTATTTTCAGATCGCTTAAAAGAATTAGCAGATAGTTTAGTAATGCTTCCTCCAGCAGTCAGTGTTGGGAGACGGGGGCCGATTGGAAGACCTGGGCCACCAGGGCCCCCAGGTATTAAAAATTAAAATTCATGTTTTCAACTCTTTTCATCTTCTTCGTAGTCTTTATTACTGAAGGTCCTGGCACTCTTTTTAATCGCTAAGTTTTGAGTCATACAAATTGTTTGAACTGGAGCAAATCTATCCCAAGGATTAGGATCATTTAAATATTTGTCAAATTTAAATGATCGGGTAGACGCCCCGACTTCTTCTGCCATCACTCCTTCCTACCAGCTTGTCGAGACTATTGGGTTCTCTAATAGCAGTATGGCCAAAGTAGCCAAGCACCCGTTTGTGCCACAAGACTGTAACACTACTAGTGTAGTGACTACACTACCTAATACACCACAAGAGTTGTGGAGATCTTTAGTTGGTTGAGAATGGACTTATTGGTTCTTTTTGCGGTCCGTGTTGCGAATCATTCTCCTCTCTGTCTCTCTCTCTGTTCCGTATGTTTTGACAGTGATGTTTAATACCTCAGTTTACTTAACGATAGCAGAAAAAAAGCAGTAAATCACAATTTTGCAGTTGAGTTTTTTGGTGTAACACTATTTTTGTTGATTAAGTTGGAACGTGCACAAAGAGCAATTTTTAAAGTTGCCTATTTTTTTTTAAACTGTTTTAAACATTTACCATGTACCACGGAAAACTTCATCTAGTTACCCACAACACAGGGACTTCTTAGTGTGGGGACTAGCGATATATGAATTTTGTCAAAACGCTTTTGTCATAAATAAAGTTTTTATTACTATATTATTTTTTGTATTTTAAATAAATATTTTTTGTAACATTTAAATGAAATCTACACAAGAACCAACTACAAATTATTTTTAATGCCTTTTTTGTGTTAATCGGACAAATATTAAAATAGATTATGCATAATATTTCATAGGTATACCAGGAGAAACAGGGATCATTGGTCATAGAGGATATCCGGGTGAGACTGGAGAACCGGGCCGACCGGGAGAACCAGGCCCTAGAGGAGATAAAGGAGATAACGGAGATAGAGGCCCTGAAGGAGTTGGGATTCCGGGGCCCGAGGGATCTAGAGGATTACCAGGTGAGTTATATGTTGATTTTAAAAAAGGTTTTCATTTTAATATACTTTATTTTATTTTAAACTATTACAAAAATGATCGTAAAAAATTGTGCTCTTATACAATTTGTTCAAAGAAACAATATATAATAAAAAGATTATATATTTATTAGATTTAATTTTATCCAACTTTTAAGAGATGGCTCTATCTGAATCTGAACCACGATCGTACTTGCGAAATGAAACTCGGAATGGAGGTACAAATGTTCCGATTATTCGTCGAATGTAGTTAACAACAAAATTACTAACGGAAGCAAGATTATGACTAACGTCCGTCCAGAACGGCTGTGTAAATCTATCTGCTATAGTATACCTACTAATAACTACCTTTTAATAACTTAAAATAAGGCCTAAGGGATGAAAAAGATAATGGAAACTAATGGAGATCATGAAAACAATAGATTTCATTGACATATACATAGACAACTCCGGGGAAATAAATACAGATAATATAACACAGCTGTGATACTTTTTGACATTCCACACCTTTTGTCTTCAGTCACCGTGACCACTCACGCTGTAAAGCACGCGAAACGTCAATTATGAGGGAATGTTTTTTAATTATGTAAAATAACATCTAAAAACGAAAAACATTCTGAGACACCCTTTAATTATAAGTTTATACACATAGCTTCAATCCTTTAAAAAAGTGTTTTCTTTAAAAAATAAAGAGTTAAGTCTTTAAGACCTGTATTCTACCCTGCCTTACCTATGGCTGCGAAACTTGGGCACTCTCTAACCAACACAGGGACATGCTAGCACACTGCCACAGAGCCATGGAAAGAAGCATGCTGAGCATAAGAAAATTAGACAAGCAAAGAAACACGGACATAAGAGCTAGAACAGGTGTGACAGACGTTCTCACTAATATAGACCAAATGAAATGGAGATGGACGGGTCATATAATACAGAGCCCCCAGGAAAAATGGAGCAAAATATTGACAGAATGGTACCCTAGAGACGGAAAACGAAGAATAGGTTGATATCGCAAAAGATGGGAGGACGAACTAAAATTAACAGTAAGCTGCAACTGGAGAAGAGTCGCAAAGGATAGAGAACAGTGGAACAGAGGAGGCCAAGAGGCAGGCTCCGTCTTTAATGTAGTGAAAATATATTAAAGACTGAAAGAGATCACAGAGTTTCGGAATATAAAGGCGTACTACACTTTGTTAACGGAACTCGCTGATCCTTCCGCTACCTCCTAACTCACCAACTGTTTCCTGGATCTGGCTGCCAGCTTCAACTTGGTCATTGCTACAGTAATGATGAGTCTTTGGTCTGAAACGCAACTATTTAACAATATACAAGAATTTAAAAACATATACCAATTTCAATATGCCCATTTGTGTATCAACCCTATATCGCTCGTCGCCATAGATTCTGTTTGTAGATAAGTGAAAGGCCCCATCTGTGCCTGCTACATTACTTCTTAGCCTATGTCGTCGATATTAAGTCTACGAAATGCCGGTTTCCACACACATATGACGACCCACAATCATCTTTACCGAACGAGTATATTTACACAAATAGAAAGAAAAATCTATTAGGGCACAGTTCGATAACACTAAACTACTTTCCAACCTTGGTATATTCCTTTAAGAAAGGTACCAATTCTTAAAAGGCCGGCAACACACTCGCGAGCCCTCTGGCATTAAGAGTGTCCATGCACAGCGGTATCACTTAACATCAGGTGAGCCTCCTATTCGTTTGCCCCCAGTAATATAATATTTGGTTTGGAACTCGGCCGCTTAACCACTATGATAAATATATGTTATGAATTTAATCATCGCCTAAACCTCAATTTAATAGAAGCCCTGAATAGCTATTGAATGAACGACGTCAATCTCATAATATCAACATGAGTTAACTAAATACGCTTTATAGTACGTTTAAAAAATACAGTATTTTCAGGTCCAGTAGGTCCCGCTGGACCTGAGGGAAGGCAAGGTGAACGAGGAAGCCCTGGGCGAGAAGGTAAGTGGTACTTTGTGTGATGTTGCAAAGGTGTGACCGTCAGTCTGCCATTTTAATTGATGTATATTCATGCTATGGGGCATGGGACAAACACATTTAAACTATTGAGGGGACAAACTTTATTTATTTCTGACCCGCGGCTGTCGTATTCAAATCAAACCAAAATTTGTAAAACAAAAAACTTGGCGATTAAAAAGAGTGGCGGAGAGTTTATTGCCAGTTCTTCTCTTCCGTTCTACGCTCTTGATTTGAGAACTGGCAGTAAATGTAATTAGAAGCATTTAATGTATATTTATTTTATGACGTTCATAAGTGTACATCGTGTTACCTATATGAATAAATGATTTTTGACTTTTGACTTTTGGAACCCTCTTGGAGTCAATACATTTATGAGTCTGTTTCGCTGATAATGTGTCTATAACTAGCTTTTTCTTTAATTTTCAAAGTCACAGTATATGGATAATATAACTTCCAACCGTTATTCTTAGTGTGAAACTCACTAATGGGCTTTGGGGCAGACTTATTTCGTATGTTTCCCTCGACATGTTTTAATGATAGAAGTCTTATTAATTTCCGTCCGCTCCAATAATTGATTATTATTATTTAAATTCTCAAACCCCAACATGGGGTGTAGTATAAAGTATAAACACATTTCTATTATTATTGTACATATATATGTTTGTATAATTATATAACTAGCCATTTTTGTATGCTTACCTAAAATATTGTTTCACCTTCTGGAGTTGGAGGACCTGGAGGTCTTTTAGATTTAGGTTTATTTAAACCAACCTCGCATTTGGAGTAAATAAACCTTAAAGACCGAGTCAAATGATGTTAACATAAAAAATCTGGTATTTTGCAGGTGTCATTGGTCCCCGTGGTGTGCCAGGTCCTAGAGGAACCTGTGACTGTCCCCTCGCATCGTACTACGCTTATCCACAGACTATAGGAAATGTTAAAGGACCATAGATAGTTAATAAATTTATTACGTTTTTTATCTGTTTTATTGTTATAAAAATAATTTTTATCACATATAACGATTAAATTGTAACATGGTAGGTACAGTATTTAGTAATTATTATTAAAAACTATCAATTCTATTTACAGTATCCTGCTCAGAGCAATTTGTTCTGAAATAATTATTAAATAAAATAAAAATAGCCTTTATTCGAGTACACTAAACTACACTCAGTCCATGTCATTATGTTTTAAACTAGTACTCGACCTCCGAGTGAGTGAAGGCCTCCTCTTAATTCTTCCACTTGTCTCTATTTCTCGCGACAATTTTCCAATTCTGCCCCGCTATCCCTTTTATTCCATCCTCCCAAGTTTCTGGTGGGCGTCCTCTCATTCTTTTTCCCACTGGACCGTGCCAAGTAAGGGGCTTCTGGACCCATCTGCCATCACGAATGTGGCAATGTGACCGGCCCATTTCCACTTTAACTCTTGTAGGTGTTTCGTCTTTAAATTTAAATTGAAGAATCAAACGCTACATAGCCCTTTGGCATAGAAGTAATGATTACGTTGCATAAAGATGCATATGTGGCGAACATTAGTACCACTCCTCTTTTCCACCGCGTCGGTGATTTTACCGCTATGTATGACGACACGGGCGCGGTGGGTGGAGCCTGCAGCCAGTGGCAGCGCGACCAGCGGGCAGTGCGTTCAGAACTGTCAAAGGCGAAACCCGTGCGCGATTTACGAATTATCCCTTAGTGACTTATAATTTATCTATTCTTGTATTAACGCTTTTTTTTCTCTAATTGTGCTACAACTCTTATCATTCAACTTTGTTCCTTCTGTATATGTTGTAATCATTATTATATACTTTAGACGTGAAGAAGTTTTCTTTGTCTTCCCACTGCGGCCACTGCCTAGCCTAGAAACTATTATTATATGGTGCTCGCCTCTCGCGCACCTATACATAAATAGGATTTATTAATAACAGCGTTTTTTGACAATGTTATAATTTATTTTAATAAATAATATATGTGGTAGAGAAATAAGGAAAATACGCAAAATCCTTGACCTTGCTGATCGAACGCTCTTTCGAACCCTAATAAATTTAGAATTGATCCTCTACGCACTAATAAGTACCTTTGTTATGCAGGGTTGGTACTTGAAATATTGCATGTACTGGAGCGGCAATTATTGTCATATATTTCTCTAAATCTAACGTAAAAGCCTTGAGACAGCTTAAATGAGACATGCAAGTTTAAGTAGTATTTAGACATGAGTGTTATTTTTGTAACGCTTTCTCGTACGCATAAAGAAAATCGAAAATAAAAGGCATGTTCTAACAAAAATTCGTTATCTGTGAGATACAGGAAGCTGATCTATATAAATAGATTATTGATCAAAATTGTGTAAAATATGTTTAATTTATATCCAAAATCGACTCACTTGCCACAGCTATCATCACTTATTAATTATTGCTTTATTTATTGACACTATAAAAGAATAATAACGATTAGTAATCTCAATATTTTATTAAGAATCTTAATGTTTTGTTATTCCATTAGTTGAAACGTTGGAACCAAAAACGCAGTGTGTTTTCATTTGCGACACCGCCACATACACATAATTAAAAAACGGGAACACTTTTAATTAAAAAAATACCTGTGTCGGGGTTCCGAGCTCTTCAATAACAAACCTTATAGTTAATTCCATAACAATGTTAATATTTTTTCAATGACAATTTTGATTTTTTAAACTGTTTACAAAAACTTCCCAATTTTTTTTACGTCAATTTCTTTTACGCACCGCGTAACACGTGAGTATGTGGGTGCATGTGAGTGTAATGTGTATGAAGATTGAAGGTGTACTTCATGTTAGGTCTCAGTATCATCTCCAACTCTGCGTAAGGTGTCATCAGGCTATTAAATTTGTGAAATAAATATATCTAAAAGGTTGTAGATTTTTTATCGTGAATATATAAATTTACGTCTAATAGTCAAATTTCGTACCAAAATCTCTGATGTACCAACCCTAGCTTAAGAAATGTGGAAAGGTCAGTATGAAGTGGTTTCCAATGCAATAGCTTAGAAGAACCTCATTACTATACTTCCGCGTTCGACTTGCAGATCAACTATAGCTCAATTCTTGTGACTTAGAGCTTAAATAAAAATAAAACTTCATTGCGTTTTTAATTACAAAAAAGTTGAACGATAGGTCTAATTTACGAGGCCGGCTGTTTGTTAGCTGTATCTTCTAGTAATGATACCGATTCCGAAGTTTCTGTATGCAATTTCTCTAAATAATATAATTATAATGTATATTGTATGTATAACAAAAAAGAGCAATACGCGATGCGCTAAGAGAATTATTTAAAGAAATCAGTATTTCAACAGTTGCCTCATATGTGTATGAAAATATTATGTACGTTAATAAAAACATAAATACAATTTTAAAGTTCAGTGACTGTCACTTAAACACAAGAACTAGGAATGGACTTGCTTTTCCAGCTTCCAGACTTCATAAAACTGGTCACTCATTAATGGGGAAAATACAGATGTAACCGAACTTCTGTTACATAAGTTTAAACCTTACATCAAGGAAACCCTAATGAAAAAAGCATATTACAAAGTAAGGAATATATGATAAGAATGTGTGGATACTAATGCCGCTATACGATATATCGATATAGAGATATTAATTTTTTTTCCCACGAAATTTGGTGAAAAGTTACCTTTTCATGTCCTAAATACGCTTTAATTTATTTGATTTGAAATATATATTTTTTCACCTTATTTTTAATTAATATCGAAAGAGCACCCTAATTTTCAATCTAAAAGTTTGAATTTAATTTTTATAATAGTGTTCTCCTTTCCCAATGGTTTTCATCCTACTATTATATTTTTTGGTTTCAAAAATTATCGACCCAGGTCTATAAGGTCTATGGTTTTATTATATATATATATATATTTATCATTATTATGTTAAGACGTATTGAACTTGTGAAGGTCACAACCTTTTCCATTATAAAAATGAAAAATGTAAAGGAAGAAACGAACTTACTGAGTTTCTTGCCCGTTCTTCTCAGAACAAGGCCTCCTGGTAGGCTGGCGTAAATTTTACTTGCATAAGTGTACAAATTGTACCTAAATGAATAAATAACTTTTGAATTTGAATTTGAATTGAATATCCGTAACGCTAACCTTAGTTTTTAGTACCTTAATAACTCCAAATTTAAACCATTTTGTAGAGATAAGTATGTTTTTATGTCGTAATCTTAATTAAATTTGAAATATGGAAACGAAACTAGATGAGTCTGTGAAGAAATAATTCAAGTTGTAATAGGCTCTTTCACTAAAAGTTTTATTAACCCGAAAACTTCGTTAAATTCGAAACAAACAAAACATTTCATTCACAGGAAGGAAACTATAGTCACATAAATAGAATTAAAATTCAAATAAAAAAAAATCGCCAAATGGCAATGATGATAGGCTGGGCGATAATTCAGGTTTAAAGACCCACTACCAACTCTTACAAATGTTTTCCCTTTAAAAAAAATCAGTACCGCTACAACCTATTCAGGTCTGGGTCTCAGATTTCTGAATCTGATTCATGATCATTTTTAAGTAGGTAAGTAGGTGATCTGCCTCCTGTGCCTGAAACACGCCGTCGACTTTTTGGGTCTAAGACATGTCGGTTTCCTCACAATGTTCGCCTTAACCGTTCGAGCGAATGTTAAATGCGAAGGTATAAAGTCCATTGGTGCACAGCCGGGGATCGAATCTACGACCTCAGGGATGAGAGTCGCACGCCGAAGCCACTAGGCCAACACTGCTCATTCCCCTAAAACCAGCTTCAAATACTTCTAAATATCGATTTAAAACCCCTGAAGTTTTTGTGGTTTGATATGTAATTTCAAATAAGTATCAAAAATACATTCAAGTATAAAAAAGTAAAAGTATTATAGTTTTTGATATTTCAGTTATAATCACGCTTGGAGCTTATATTTGGTTTAGTTTATTGGTTGAGTTCGAGGCTTAATATAAATTGTATATGTCGGAGTGATATATCGTCACTCCATCGATATAGACTCGGTACAACGTCTCATCACCACAATGCTCCACTGAATACTCAATCAGAATTACCCTGCGTTCCGTAACGTACTGTCCAAAGTCAAGATGGCGCCTCTAGGCAATTCCTCGGCTCTGATTGGTCGTAACAATATCTTTACATTTATTCGTTAAGTAATGATTCTAAATTATGCATCAATGAAATAGTTATAAAACAAATCGAATCAAATTAAATTATGATTCTTAATAGAAGGTATCTCAATTATTAACCAAAGTAACAATTATAATCAACGGTCAATTGACACGATGAGAACATTTCCTGATAATCCGAGTATTCCCCGACATATACATTAATATCTTGTATAAAGTAAATAAAAAAAAATCGCCCTAAATAAAATGCTTCTAAAAACCTTCCCAGGACATCTTGATTCCCCCTAAATTTGGGCGGAAACTCCCAAGTAGGCATCAATGGAGTTAAACTGCGATTCACGCAAATCGAACATAAAAAGAATGTAGCAGTAGAAAACACAAGGTTACATCCACATGTTTAAGACGTTTCTGGTGTGAGGTTAAAATGGAAGTTGTGTAGCGCTAATGTGTAATTTCTGTTAGTCACGCCGAGAAAGTTGTTTAGAACTTTGCGTATAAATAAACTAATAAAAAACTTATTAATTAGAACTTTTTCATACATTCTTGTTAGGACTAAATGAAGTTGTTTCCTTTTTCATGGTATAACATCTCTTTGAAATATACGGACTCTGTAAATGTCTTATAAAATAATATAAACTATTTTACGAAATCTTTAAATGCAATGCCCTCGAATTTTTTTTTCTTTCTTTTCATTTACCAATAGCTTCGCAATAACAAATATCCAAATAGTCAAATATATGAAAATCCCCAAAAATATAAAAGTTCATATGACAAAAATTACACCCGAAATCAGAT